GTGTTTTAATATCATGTGCTGCAAATAGCTGCAGGAGACACATTAAAGAGCCACTTACTTAGTCTGAGTATGACTGAACTAGGCAGTATTTGATACTCACTTTGTACCTTGTGTAGCCATTTACCACTGGAAAATCACACCACTGGCAATTAAAGAGCCATTTCTTTTATCAGAATCGAGGGGAAACTTTTATATTAACTATGAAATTAAAATCTTAAAAATCTAGAGTTTGGTGCCTTTTCTTTAAGAATAAAAAGTTCTTTAACAAATTGGTGTTAACAAACAAAGAGGATTAGCTGGTCTGAAGTAACTACTATAGTCTACATCTATTAATCTGTTTTGGAATCAAGTGGAAAACATAAGTAGATGTCATTTCCCCCTCCATTATTCATAAACAGTAGCAAACATACAGCCTCCTAAAAATTGGTGATTTTTATTTTACATTCTCATTAGCTTCTCAAAGAGATCAAGTGTCCTCTCCAGATCCCCACATAACAACCAGCCAACTTAATGAGTGGCAATGGAAGGCTGTACTGTCAGCTGCTCTATATTGGCATACCTTCATTGAAGCTAATGGACCTATGCCAATTTACAGCAACTGACAATTTGGCCCAGAGTCTCTTCTGGTTTTGGAAGCAATCCAGGGTGATTAGAATAAGGAGTCAGATGCTCAGATACAATAGAGATGGGCACACTAGTTATTTTTATTATTAAACAGAGATTGAGAATTTCCAGGCTTCTAGATAGAAGATGCACTTAAAATTCCAGTTATTCCTCACAGTGCCAAAAGTGTAGAGAGACTGTTGCCTTTGATCACTGCAATATGTAGATTGATATACACTAGCTGAGGATCAGGACCTTTAACTTTTGTCATCTAACAAAATATAGCAAACCTCTAATCACATTTTTAACTAAATGTAAAAAGGAGCTGCTGAGTACCTATGTGGAATACCTGAAAACGCAAAAAGATACTGTCTGCTGTGTCCCTGGTTGCTTTTCAGAAGCAAGAATTCTGAAAATTAATGTCTCCAGAAATGGAATTGCAGCAACCCTCACTCAAGAGTATTATGAGAAGTATCACCTTTCAGGAGATTGTGATTCACAAACTTCCCATTGATGCTGTGGGGTAAGCTATGACCGGTTTATCTTTAAACTTTTCAGATGATTGGCTATAGGCATCCAGCGCAACAACCATGGCTATCGGAGGAGGCCTTCCAGATAATTAAATTGAAGGCCGCAGCCCGCCAGGGTGGTGATAAGCACGCTCCTAATCAGCTGAAGTGAAAATTTAACACCCTGACACTCCGCAATTGCAAGGCATATTATAACCAAGTTGCGGATGATGTCAAATTTGGCTTGAAGCTAGCATTTCATGCCATTCGCAATCTCAGCGGTCAAGAGGTAGTCACTACAAACTGCATCCTGAATGACAGCCAAGGCCATCCATGTAAATCGGATGATTACCTTCTCTCATGGGTATTCTATTTCACATTTGGGGACAATGTATACCTTCAAGTCAGCGGCACTGCTATGGGTACCCGCATGGCCCCACAGTATGCCAACGTTTTTATGGCTGACTTAGAACAATGCTTCCTCAGCTCTCGTCCCCCAACCCCCTATTCTACTTGCGCTACATTGATGACATCTTCATCATCTGGACCCATGGAAAAGAAGCCCTTGAGGAATTCTACCATGATTTCAACAATTTCCATCCTACCACCAACCTCAGCCTGGAACAGTCCACACAAGAGATCCATTTCCTGGACACTACACTGCTAATAAGCGATGGTCACATAAACACCACCCTATACCGGAAACCAGCTGACCGCTATATTTACCTGCATGCCTCCAGCTTTCATCCAGACCACATCACACGATCCATTGTCTACAGCCAAGCTCTCATATACAACCGCATTTGCTCCAATCCCTCAGACAGAAACAAACACCTACAAGATCTCTATCAAGCATTCTTAAAACCACAATACCCATTTGCTGAAGTGAAGAAACAGATTGACAGAGCCAGAAGAATACCCAGAAGTCACCTACTACAGGACAGGCCCAACAAAGAAAGTAACAGAACGCCACTAGCTGTCACCTTCAGCCCCCAACTAAAACCTCTCCAATGCATCATCAAGGATCTACAACCTATCCTGAGACAGACAGCCCCCCAACCTGAAGCAAATACTCACCAGCAACCACACATCCCACAACAAAAACACTAACCCAGGAACCTATCTTTGCAACAGGCTTTGTTGCAAACTCTGTCCACATATCTATTCAAGGAACACCATCGTAGGACCTAATCACATCAGCCACACCATCAGAGGCTCGTTCACCTGCACATCTACCAATGTGATATATGCCATCATGCGCCTGCCATGTACATTGGCCAAACCAGACAGTCTCTACGCAAAAGAATAAATGGACGCAAATCAGACGTCAAGAATTATAACATTCAAAAACCAGTTGGAGAACACTTCAACCTCCCTGAACACTCAATTACAGGCCTAAAAGTGGCAATTCTTCAACAAAAAAACTTCAGAAACAGACTCCAATGAGAAACTGCAGAACTGGAACTAATTTGCAAACTGGACACCATTAAATTAGGCTTGAATAAAGACTGGGAGTGGATGGGTCATTACACAAACTAAAAACTATTTTCCCATGCTAATTTTCCCCCTACTGTTACTCACACCTTCTTGTCAACTATTTGAAATGGGCCATCCTGATTATCACTACAAATGTTTTTTCTCCTGCTGATATCCCACCTTAATTGATTAGTCTCGTTAGACAAATTGCAGTCTCTGCCTAGATGTCTAGAAGGCTGTGGAGCATCTATACAGAAGTAGGGTTTAGCTCATGCCACAGAAGTGTTGCTTTTTAATATATCTGTTTTCCAGAAAATGGTTTCCACTATTCATTCTGAACATCTCTGAAAAATCTATTGTTGAGTGCTGTAACCTACTGATGACTTCAAAATTCTGGCTATGATATTCCAAGACCTTTTTTGAGGCTGGCATAGAATGACTAATTAGAATTATTGTTTGTTTTCTCTTGTGCAGTAAATTCTTGGACTCTGACTCCTTTAGCCTAACCAGATTCTCTGTTCCTATCATGGGGTTTTGTTCGGGTGTGCAGACGTGCAGGCAGAACCATAACACTCTAGCAATGGTGTAGGAATTGGCCCCACTCCCTTATGAAGCCCCACTCATGTGTGTCCCCCAGACTTACTGCTCCCAGAAAGGGTTTTTCCCTGCTCTACATCAACTTCTCTTCAGAAGAGATTCTAAAAGGGCAGACAAGCCACTGAAGGAAAAACTACCAAGGCAGAAAGAATCTAACCAATTCTGCTCTGCATGGTGGGGGATGGGTGGCTTTTATCAATAAAGGTTCCTTCCTTTTCTCCATATCGATCTGTTTGTTTTCAAGAGCTCTAATTAGGAGGCCTTTGATCCTATCATGGAGCAAGGTGAATGGGCAGTTGCTTCTTGTCTCTAGTTAGATCCACCGTGGCTCTCTTTTTCAGACCATTGCTGAGCTGCCAGAGTTCCTGCTCCAGGGACTGTCATCTAGCCACTTGCCTCTTCCTGGTATAAGTCAGACTTCATTTTTAATGCCTCAGAAATTCTTTTAGTTGCAAGGTAGTGTTGAATCTGAAGTGCTTTAGTGGTTCTATCCGTTGAGCCGGTGTATAGCTTTCTTTTTCCTCCTTCCATCTTCAATAAGAACTGATTAAATACCCTGTTGAATTCTAAAGATGTGAGGCTTCTTTCTACCTACTGTGCTCTGCTGAGTCCCTAAACTTGCTTTGACTCAAGTGTAAATGATCACCCTCCACACACTCTCCATTGCCTCAGAACAATAAACTGCTTCCATTAGGTCACTGTGGGCTAGAAAACACAAAATATGGCAATCTTTTCAGAGAGTTCCCCAACTTGGGCAGCTCTGCTAGCTTTCCTGCCACTCATCTCTAACCAAACAGGAACTATTTTAAAAAAGTAAAACCATTTTCCCTTCAAAGTTTGAAAACAAAATTCACCTCCAGGCAGAGATCAAGCATGAAAATTTTCACTGAGTGAAAACCTGTGATTAGATTGGAAACAGTTACTTTACAGCTGTAATTACAGTAGGATCTACAAGTGCAGCTCTGGGATTTCGAGAGCCAAGTTTTATCCCAGTAACTTATTTGCCTGATTACCTCTGCCTCTAAATTTGCACAGCAGAGGGAATAGTAAACCTGGATGCTTAGAGAAGAGACCTCTATTTTCTACTTCCATGTTAGAAATATTGTGGTTATGGGTGAACTGGCATTTCAATTCCAAGCTTTTGTTTAGTGGCTTTTTAAAGTTGATTTTGCGTCTCTGCTGGGAAAAGCATGAGCCTTCAAAAGTAACTTCGTAAACAAACAAACTGAAGCTGTTCTTGAGTTTGACTATGGAATGAATAGTGGATTTTTAGCCATAAAAAAAGATATTGATACACTAGAAATAACCCTTGTGTTTGGTTACTTTGTTTTTTCCCTAATATTTACATATGATTTTGAAAGCTTTGGTAATCTTCTGAAAGTATGAGAGCCCGATCTCAGAAATCTTCTAGTATGCAAAGGATTTTGGCAAAAGCAGTTCCAGTTTATGTAAATATTTTGTTTTAAATGAATATAGGTATTATGACAAGCAGCTAAATTTTACAAGGTATGTGTCTCACGCATTCCCATAATTTAGTTGAATTCTTAACATAGTGCACATGCCTCAATTGCATGAAAACCACCTACACCAGTCTTGGCAGCAATTCATCAACTTAATCCCAACTAATTTGTTGAGGCAGTTCAATAATTGAATATTTGCATGAATAAAAATTCAAATTAAATATTTTAAAAATTCAGCTCTGCCACACCTTTAAAATTGTTGTTCTAAGTCTGTTTTAACAATGTTCCAAATTTCACTTTTTAAAGAATGAGTATGGTCTTTCTTTGATATAACCCAATTTGTTTTCTTTTTAAGCTACGGAAGTGTCATCTGCAAAGTTGAAGGAAAGGAAAAGCATAGTGATTCTGGGTGTGATCCTGAGTGTTTTATGTGACAGACGGATGCTGAGTTTCTAACTCCATCATTCTAGATTGTTGAACCTGAACTGGAACTGCTACCTTACTAGGTAAGAGATTGCCAAGTGTGTGTGATTTATATGCCTTCCCCCTTTGTAGTGTTTAAATGAAAGTAAATTTATATTCTGAAATGTAGCATATTGTAGACTTGTAGAGTGTGTATTTTTGTTAAATGTGCTTGGCTTTATTAGGGGTGCCTGCACTGCTGAAATTATTGGTACAGTGTCCCCACGAGAGAGACAGCAGCTACAACTCTGCATGGAACAACTTTGAAACAGCTGGCCATCAAAGTGTACTATGGAACTTTTAGCGTCCGGCAGGCTAGAGCACTGTAGATCTACACCCCAGCTTGAGATGCGCTAAGTTGCCTTATAGATGATCTCTTGGTCTCCCTCCAAGAAAAGACTTTTGAGGCATCATGAATTAGAAGGGAGCCTGGTCTGAAAGACGCTACATACACCATGGTACTCTGTCCTTGACAATGACTTCTCCCATCACACTTCTCTGTGGGGGAAAGCTTTGGTCTTTGGCTATTGCTATCCACCTCCTGAGGGGAACAGAAACTGAAAAGGAAAATATAATCTTCCTTTTAGCACTATTAACGATGGACAAGTTCTTGATAAGAAATGTTCTGGGGCAGCGTGCCACAGAATTGTTCTCATCAGCTCTGACTGAGACAAGCTGCTCTTCACCAGCTCTTCTTCTTAGCTTGTTTGAAAACTTTTGGCAGATGTTGGTGTTTTGAAGCGCACTGTCCCTCAGATAGTAATTCTTTGTCAAATCCTTAAGGGAGGGACAGTTTTTTGTTTGTTTTCATAGTGTTTATGTTTGTGGGACAAGGCTCATTAGAGGAAGTCAGTTTGGGTTAGTGGTTCCTAGCAGAAAGAAAAAGAGCCCACAGATGTATGGAAATGAGTCTTTAGGATAGCTCTTCCCTATTCTGGCAACAGGACAGCTGTTGTGCATTATCCAGCATGGTATGCTATGAGCAAGTGACCCCCCAAAAGAAACAACACTGATTTTTTCCTTGATATGAGCAGAAACAAATCAGTTCATCACATCAGAAGGCTGTGTCATTGGGGATGTCAACAAAACAGATTTGGTTCAGCCACACTCAGATAAACCCAGGAAACTCAATGCTAATATTATAGATGTGCTGTGAAAGGAACAGAATAGAATAGAACCACTAGCAGATTTATGGATTCACTTTTTTAAGGCCAGAAGGACTAAAATGATTATCTAGTCTGACCTTCTTCATAACATAGGCAATAGAATTTCACTCAGTAAGTCCTGCCGTAGAGGGAAGTATTCTTCTCTACCATGTAAAATGACGCCATCAGGTCCATAAGTAAATACACACTGAGGTTGTTAGTAATCAACATAGATGCTTTGGCATTTGGGTCTCACTTATTTTTCTTTCTTGGTCTGCGTTACGGGGGTCCCTCATGAAAGAATCCTATAGGATTTAACAGAAAATTATTACTGACAGATTTCGACAGGATTTTTTTAAGTATAAAAAGACATACAAGTATAGAAAGGATATTTCTCTCAATTAAATTCTAGGGCTCATGCTTCTTTGAGAGGGAATGGGGGCTGGGCAACAGTGCTGCCCATGTGCTGCTGCCACTTTCACAGGCAGGAGCCGAGGGGCTCCACAGCCAGAAGCCATTGCTCTCCACTGAATGGGAGAGAGGAACTTGAGTGAGCCAATGAGTGAATGGCTGTTGGTGTAGAGGGGTGTGTGTGGGTAGGATGGAGAAGAGGGGATTAATTAAGGCACAGGACAGAGATCTTTGGGGGGAAAGTGATGCAAAGGGGAGAAGGAAGAGGACTAAGGCGGAAGTACTGTTGAAAGAGGAAAGGATATAGGCAGGTGAAGGAAGAACAAAAGAGAAGAGGGTCTATCACAATACCTATACCAATAAAGGAGAACTAACAACTTAAAATGCCTTGTTCAAAAATTTTAAGTAACACTTAATTTTCAAATGCCTGGACGGCAAATGTAATTTTTCTTATGTGCATGGTAAACACTGGCATTTTTATCTGTTTGAATAATCAAAGTGGTGCTTTCCGTGCCTTCTTGGTTGCAAAGATTTGAACTGCTTTCTGAAGGTCCACAGTCTGGGCCAGCTCATGCTCTATTGAGATGGCTGCAAGGCCAACCACAATGACTCAGGAGAGGCTGGAGCATAGATGTGTTTTATTAACTTCAGCTGGGAGAGGTTGCGTTCTCCACTGGCAACTGTTACAGGAAGTGTTAAAAGTATGCGCAGAGCAACAAAAGCATTTGGAAAGAGGGTGGTCATCTTATTTGTGCACATATATTCCAGAATAGTCTTTGGAGTTGATCCTGCTGAAATGTATCTTGAAAGGGCTTTCAGTTCATCACCTAAATCACTCACATCAATATCACGCATGTCATCATGTGTCAACACTGTCTCCAGTACCCTGCATTCCTGATGTAGGCCTTCTTCAGGTATAGTGAGGAGTTTTGGAATATCATACAACATCCCAAATATACTGTTCGGTTCCTTGAGCTGCATGAAACGTTCTTCAACTGACTGTATTGCACAATCTAGCACCTGGTTAAAGAATTCAACTTTTGAATTGTTGTTTGGGGTCTCTTATGGGATTATCCCATGCCTCGTAATGAAAATGTCGTCTTCGGTGACTCTTGTATTCTTGAATGAGTGGGAAAATAGCTTCAGTGTGAAGTTCCTCTGCCAACTTCTGTGCACTCTTCAGAACGTTATGAAATCCCTCATCTGACCGGTAAGACTGTAGGTATGACTTTGCTTTGTCCAGTTGTTCCATTGCTCCAGATATATCAAGGTCAACACCTTGGAGTCTCTTGCTTACAACATTTACTTCAAACAGTATGTCATGCTACAACACTAAGCCACACAGAAATTTGAAGTTATGTATGTTTCTGGTGATTCCATTTCCCTCTGCCACTGTTCTCCCATGAACAGTTCCTGTCATAGCATTATCTTCCATAATGGCAACTATGGTATCATCTAACTTCCCAATTTGGTGTTGGATAGGCTTTATCGCCTCCACTCAACTGTCCCATTGTGTGGCCGTCAGTGGTTTCAGTGTCAGAGAGGATGTTCCCAGACGTTGCTTCAAAATTCGCCGTTGATGAGTTGATGCAGAGAAAAATACATAGATGCTTTGAATTATATTAAAAAATTCAGCAGCCTCACTAGAAGCTGATGCTGTATCACTGACCATCAAGTTAAATGAATGAGAACTGTATGGGACAAAAAAAGCTCAAGGGTTTGACTCTTGGATCTGTCTGCACTCCTCTGTTCTTTCCTCTCATGTTGGCTCCACTATAGTAGCCCTGACCTCTCATGTCAGCTATCACAATTCCGGTATCTTCCAGCTTTTTAAGAAGCACATTTGTCATACCAGCTCCTGTAGTATCATCAATATGAATACATTCTAGAAAATGCTCTCCGACAGTCACCATTGCTGGGACATTTTCACTAGGTTCTGTTGTTGTTACAAAACGCACCATTAAAGCCATTTGTTCCGTATGGCTGATGTCAGGTGTGCAGTCCAGAATAACTAACAGAGTAATATCTTGCTGACTTCAGATGTGCCACAATCTTCTGTTTGACTTTTGTTGCCAGTAACTGTATGATCTCATTTTGAATTGTTTTTCCAAGGTAGTGGTGTGTGTACATTTCTTGGGTGGTGACTCTTCTTAGATGCTCCTGGAGTACAGCATCAAACTCAGCCATCAGCTCCACAATTTCAAGGAAGTTTCCATTGTTTGGCACATACAGCTGATCTGAAGTGCCACACAGTGCTAGGTTTTGGGTAGCAAGCATTGCCATTGTGAGAATGAGCCTTTTCAGAACATTTTTGCCAGTAAAGAGACTCTGATGCAATCTTCTCTTGATGCTGATCATCTATGGTGGCCTTTAACCTTAGTCTCATCTCAAGCTCTTTCCACCTATGGCATGCTCTCTGGTGATTTGCTGCCTTCTCATGGCATGCCAGATTTCTAGCCAGATTTTTCCAGTCCTTTGTTCCTGTAGAACCCAGTGTGGCTGGAACATTAGACTGGAAGAGTTTGCAACAGAAACAGTATGCAGCATTCTGGGTTTTGAGTACATAAGCCATGGCCTCTCCACTTTGTCACCGTTGAGGATTTCACGCCAGTAATGTGTTGGATGGAAACTCCTATTTTCATAGTCTTTGGGGAGCATGACGTTTTTCACTTGCTGAGGCCCATTCAGTACAAGGAAGTCCCTCAGGCTACTGCTCAAGTGGGTCCACAGCCCTGGATCATCTAGACTTAAGGAACTAAACTCAACAGCAGCTGTTTCTTGCGCCTCCACCACGCTCTTCTCTGATCTACACTTTTCTTCTGGAATGTGCATGGTTACATCCATTTGAGATGGAGATATGGATGCTGCAGTAGGTGTCAGGTCACCTGCACTCTAACTGGAAGATCAGGCATCTCCTCACCACTCACATCCTCACTGGGGCCGGAAAGCTCACCGTGAACATTTGTGTCTATGTATCTCAGGAGAGCTCCTTCCTGCTTAGATAGAAAAGCTTCCTTTGCTTGCTTCCTTTTTCTGAATTCTGCCCCAGAGGGGCATTCTCTTCTTTCCAAGGTCGTCTCTAACTTTTTTGCTGCCCCAAGCAAAAAAACAAAACAAAAAAAACCCCCCCCCCCCCCCCCGAGCACTGCTCCGCTGAACCAAAAACAACAATAAAAAAACCCCGAGCGCCGCCCCGCCACCGCAAGATTGGCTGCCCCTTAAAAGGTGTTGCCCCAACCATGTGCTTGGTCGGCTGGTGCCTGGAGCCGGCCCTGCTTCTTTCACTCATGACTGCTGTTCTGTGCCAGCTATAGTGGCTCTCAACACTCAATTGAAGGGGACAAATAAGCAGGCTGGCAGCAGGGCCTGAGTGAGGGAAGATATCAGCGTCTTAATGGCCTAACTGGCTCCTATTAGTTCAGTTGACTGCCTGTTCTCCTCAAGTGGGTTCAGGGAAGCAGCAGGAAACAGGAAGCTCCCTAAGAAGC